ACCTTTATTGCTCTGTGCAGCTGGGTTACAAGAGAACTCCTCTGCAATTTCTGCTGCCCGCCACGAGCAGCGTAGAGCTGCAATACTTCATTAGTGCTTCTTCCGGCCAACCCTTGATACTATTTAAAAAAAAAAATCACCAAAAAATCACCTTAAAACACTCATGTTTCCTGTTGCATTCTGTCCCCTTTGTCTCTGTAAACACTTGTAACTCAACTATCTGATTACATGGGATATTGTCAATACATCATCATCATCATGGCTGGGCTTCATGAACAAAGACATAACTTCTTTGCTTTTACATTTTTCTAAATCACATGAAGAATCACCTCATGGTAGCTGGCTAACATCACACAGTTCTGCTTTCTTAGTGTGGTAAACCTGAGCACCAGACTTCTAAAATGCCTTTGCTGTACCTAAACCCTCTTACGTATGCTTGAGGTGGATCTAAAGGGTTAAAACTGTATCTTCACTTAGGGAAAAGGGCTAGGTACATAGGTGGATTATTAACTGTCTCCTGGAAACTAGATTTAACTCAGAAAGCACTCTGGAAGGACATGAAACAGAACAAAGACACACGTACACGTGTTAACTGCTGAAGTCCTGAAGGAGCTGTTAATACACAGCCCCCAACTTAGTGTCCATTGCTCCAGCCGCCTGACAACACCGACTCCATTACACTCTGTAGGGCTGTAATGGTGCAAAACTGTGCCAATAAAGCCCTGTGCTGGGTCTTCAGAGATCAAAGCAACCAAAGCAATTGTCATTTACTGACAGTGCTGGTACTTAAAATGAGCTGCAACTTCTTCACCCACTTTCCCCAGTACTAATTGCCTCTTCCTTTATTTTTGAAATGCACTTGTCTCTTGCGTGGACTTATTTCCTACTTTATTCACACCATACATTCTGCAGCTGCAGTTTCCCATTATTCAAATTAGCAAAGCATAGAAGAGTACAACAGAAGATATGAAAGAGCTAAACCTACTCACATAATGGGTTTTCATTTAATTCCAGGTAAAAATTAAACATTTAATTGCAGTTTAACTACAGATGATATCGGCAAAAACAACAATACAGTGTTTTGGTGCTGTAAGGACAAAAAAAGATTATATTTTCAAAAAAAGTACTTCGCTTATCTAAACCGATGTTTCCACATGGCTTTTTCACCTTCACAAAGCATGCATCTTCCATTTACAAATGCAAGTGGAGACTCTGCACAACTATGCAGCACCTTAGCACTAATATAAGAAGTTCTTAAATGGAAAAGAAATAGCAGGAAGAGATTATTTAAAAAAAATTATAATTTTCTTTTTGTTACAGGCTTTAAGCTCCCAGAAATTGAGACTAATTCTATACAGTGTTTATACATTCTTTTATTCTGAGGATTTTCAAGACTCATGTTACTCAGATGCAATATTTACAAATAGTTTGACAAAAATGGACCCAAGTAGCACACCAGAATTAGTATCTCTAATCACACGTGAAAAGTTAAGCACATATATAAGCAATTGCAGTACTCAAGCATCATTACTAAATAAGCTTAAGATAGTTAAAACCTACTTTTAACATCTAATCTGCACCATCTGCACAGATTCCCCTTGACCCTCCATATTTCCTAACACTAACAATAAAAGCAGAATGGTCGACTGCTGGTCATTGCAGTCACCCTCTCATTGCTTCCGCTATCAAGTTTATCTTTATTGCAAATGTTGCCTTGGTTTAGAAGTTTTCTCCATTAAAATAGTTTTAGCATTCATCAGAGCTGTTCACAGGCCAGAACCTGCAAATCTGTGCTCATGCACAGAAGCAAAAAATTGACTGTAAAACTTTTTATAGTCAGCTTTATTATAAACAGAAGTGAAACTGAACTACATAATAGTGTTCTCCAAAGTGAAATCTCTGTTTTGCAATTGGATCCGTTCTAGCAGACTTGGCTTTATGTAAGGAAGGCTGCAGGATCAGGACCTCAAGGACAGCTAACAAAAGCAAGGGGCACGCAGGTAGATAAACACATTTCCAAATAGACAAAAGGAAGCCTACCAAGAAAGAATCTGATTTCCTATGTTCAGTAACAACTCTTACAATATGCTGCTAGGATAAAAATATACTGCAGAACAAAGTGGAAGTGCTGTAATTCATCACTGTCTCAAGGATATAAGGGAAGGTCTATAGCAAGAGATAACTGATGCAGCCTACAGACAAACATCTACACTGCAAATCCTAATTTATGGCAATCCTCATAAGTTTGTCTCCAAGGATCCCTAACTCACTTCATCCAAAACGAATCCAATCAGCTTTTACAAGTTAAGAATGAGACCTCTCTTAACCCTGGTCACTGTGACTGAACTTGTTACAGCTCAATCACTTGGGCAGCTCCACCACCAGCAGATCTGAAGGGTCACGGACTGACAGCCAAGGGCAGTAACTTTTCTCACCAGCATAGCTGGTGAAATACTGGGAGATATTGTGCAACATTGCACAACCTTAAATAATACTCATTTCAATTAGTATTGTTTTACACAGTCTTCAATTAGGGTAAAACTATTTCATAGATGTCAGTTTAGCTCACGTTTTCAGATTGCTGGGGCAAATTAACCAGGAAGAAGTGACTCTCAAGTATTTTTAAATAACTGCCTGCATAGAAACATTACCGCAAGGTTAATTGCAAAGTATTTCCAGAAATCATTTGATATTGTTTCTGACTGGTCCTCATGTGTCTGTAGGTGTTCATACCTTTACCACATTTTTCAGTAAAATGAAGCAGTGCTCTATTTGAAAAAGAAGGCTTCATTATCTAATACACAGACAACTTCTTCCTACATCTGAAGTACCTTACTGACTAGAATAATTTATTTCTTGTGTTTGTGATGGTAAAAAACAATCAGCTAAAATACTTAAGGCTTTCAGTGAATATTAGAAAGCAGAACAAAAACAATAAAAACATTTTCTCAGAATAAATTACAGTGTTCTTCTGTATACCTAGCAAATTTCATTTCAGCTGTACCATCTGCTTCCAGTCAGACTCTGAAAAATGTTAAACCCACTTTTATCCATGGGTGTTAACAAACCCACAGGGAGGGTAAATGGCTTTCCTGAGGTCACAAAACCAGTTAATGTTTCAGCCCAGATTAGAAACTCTTGGCCAACAGTCTGTATCACCACTAATACTCGCAGCTGGCTCTGCTCTAGCAGCATAGATTCTTTACATCTCTGAAATCCTACCCTTGAAGGCCCCAAGCATCATCACAGGCAGCTCCTTATTTCAATAATGGTCTAGGTAAACAACCTAAGCTTCTGTAGAAGGATATAAGGAAATGAGGGCATCCAGTCGTTGCTGTGTGCTCTGTGACTCGGTACATGAGCAACACTACCTTCATCTTTTCCAGACAAGTGTAACATTAGTGCTGTGAAGACACGCAACCTGGCATCTCTGGTAAGTCTACTCATAATGAAATGTCTTTCCTGCACTCTATGAACAGTCCTCTTCAAAGCATCATCCTAATTGCATCTAAAAAGTGTTCCTGAAAAATCTACTACTGTGTTTTAGACAAACACATTCCCTGCAAGAAGAAAGCAATATTCCATATTAAACGCTTGCAGAGTCATTCCTTCAGTTCAGTTTTATACATTCAAAACAATAGCAAATATTTAACTTTAAGACAACTTCTAGTTACTTAAACAGTCTCGTACCACGATTTTGAAAAGAAAATAAATGCTGAGCCTTAATCCCTTCATAGATTTCCCCAACTGGTAAAAAGTGCAAAATCCAAAAATGGGAAGGCAGATTTCAGGGTCTTTTTTTTTTTTTTTTTTAATTTCCTAAGAACTCTTTTTGAAAAAAAATAACTAATAGTCACCTCTGCAAGTTTTAGATGAAGAGCAGCATTTTCAGTTTCCAGGACAACTATTCTTTCTTCTTTGGCCTAAGGAAGAAAACACACCCAAAACCCCACAATAGTAAGAATGAATCACTTATTTAATTGAGATGATCATAAAATGGTAATCAGACTCATTCACTCTGATTAACATTATTTCATTATGATAGCTTTCATTATTACATTCCACTGCTTCTCAAACTTCTGGGATCAAAGGACTACCTACTCCCAATCTCCTAATCACAATAATATTTTTATACAAGCTTGTAAAAATCAGGGTAAATAGTCCTTTATTTCTATCCTTTCTGTCATTTTGCCTGCTTATGTGGGAACGAACAGGTACACAATTTAAACCCCCCTCGCTTTATGGAACCACCGGTTCTCAGAGAAGCGCAATTTTATTTATTTACACATAACCATGTAAGTTTCCATTTCCAAGGCACCACTGTCAGAGGCCTTCCATGGTGTGGCGGCCGAACTATTCCTGAGCACAGGTGCCATCTCCCACAAGCGCTGGGCTTGAGGGAAGGTGGGAGAGCCGCTCACTGCTCTGGCACCCCGTTTCTATCCCAGCCCCAGCAGGAGCAGCCTCTCCCCCATACCAGGCGGCCCGACAAGCCCCCCCCCACGCTGCCGGACTCAGGCTCCTCGCCTGGAGCCCACTTTTACCGGGAATGGGCAGCATCGGGGAGCGCCGACCGGGACCCCGCGGCACGTGCGGGACTGCAGGCCCCGCCCCCCAACGCCCCAGCCCCGCCCTCGCTCCTCACGCGCAACTGCTGCTCCAGCTGCCGCAGGCGCTGCGCCCACACGGAGCCCGGGTCGAGCCCACGCCGCGGCCGCATCGTCCTCCCCGCTCCCGCGCCCAGGCGGAGCAGGAGCTTCCCCGGCTCCGGCTCCAGCGGGGATTTAACCCGGGACGCGGCCGCGGCGGCCAGGCGGCTGCCATGGTGACGGGCCCGCCCCCTTCCCGCGCTGCTATTGGCTGGACGAGCGTCAGCACCGTCCTCAGCACCTCCCCGTCCGTGAGTGGCAGGGCATTCCACCAATCCTCGAGCAGGGAGGGGACGGGGCGGGGCAGCGCCGGGCGCCCGTGAGGCAGGGCGCCCCCAGCAGGGCGGGGGTGGCGCTATCCTCGCACCAGGCCTGGCTAAACGGGAGCGGGCTGCTGTCCCTGGGCAGTCCCCTACAGCGACCCATGGGATAAGTGACATCAGAGGTCCATATCCATTATCCCCAGAGGCTGGGGGGGATACTTCTGCCTTCCTGCTGTGTCACTTGGAATGAGTGACCTCAGAGATCCATATCCATCATCCAGAGAGGCTGGGGGGATCCCACCACCTGCACCAGCTCTTGGGATAAGGGACCTCTGAGGCCAAGGCAGAGAATTAGGGCAGGGAGCGCAGAAACAGAAGGGAAGCCTGGTGCTCCCAAGGCTGGTGTGAGGCTCCCCGGTTCCTGGGCCCAGGGGTGCAAACCTCACACCATCAAAAAGGGCGAGAAGGAGGAGGACAGAGCTGAGAGCTCTGATACTGGCTACAGGATTTCTCCCCGTGAGCAGTTGGTGCTGTGTGCTATGGGCTAAGGCTGCAAAGGCCACAAAGAAGATTAAGGGATATGAACATCTGTTACACGGAGCGTGCTGGGGATTGTGCAGCCTGGAGGATGGGAAAACTGAAGAGGATCCAGTCAATACGTATAGAAACCTGATGGGAGAGCATGAACACCACTGCACCACAGGACAGGAGTGTAAGGGTAGCGTGAGGGTGGTCAAACACTAGCACAGGCTGGCCAAAGAGGTTATGGAGTCTCCACCCTTAGAGCTACTCAAACCCCAGTTAGACCCAGCGCTGGGCGAGCAGCTGTAGCTGACCTTGCTTTGACACTTGGTGGGATGATGCACCACAGAGGTCTGTTTATTAACTGTGAACACAGCCAGTGTTAGGGCTGGACTTAGGACAAGGACAAAGCCTGTGGGTTCAGCTGGTGTGGGAGTCCTGAGAGGCTGCCCAACACAGGAGCTATTCATCCAGGCTGTGGCTGGAGGTCTAACATGGTGAGGTGAATACATGACATACAGTAGTAATATTCCTTAGTGCTCTGCTGTATTGCACTGAAAGATTAACATGATCTTGAAAGCAGTCATAATACCATTTGACTGTAAAATATGAGAGTATGCCAGAGACAAACATGTCAGCTTCTTGGAAGTGGGAAATAGCACTATTTTTGCACTACAGTTGCTTGGGGGGGTTTAAACCAAAACCAACATGATAATTACAGAAGAATCCAGTTCTGCAAAATAGAGGTCTCAAGTTACTGTCTACTGAACATGGCAAATGTGCTCTCATACAGGCAGCAGAAAATCCAAAGACACAGCAGCGAATCTCTCCATGTTTGGCACAAAGGGATAGCAACCCTTTACAGCAGAACCCAGATGCAAGCCATCTATCACAGACCAAACCAAACACCCCTGTGCATCTCCATCCACTGTCTTCTGTGATGCTGCACCTTCAACAAGTTGCTATGACCTGTAGCCTCAGTTTAAAAAAAGACCCAGCTGGCTGGTTGCAGTTGGGTTTGGGATGCAAAAGCGTAACTCAGTAGTTTGTCCTTGCAACTAGTTCTGCGTTGGTGGAAAAATGAGAACTAACAAATGGATAAAGGCTAAAAAAGAGTTCAAAAGTGCTGCAGTGCTGTGGATGTTACAAGATGTTGGCACTAAGTAAGGCAGACAGGATTTTATCAACATCAGCTATTTTGGGGAAAATAATTTAGTATCTTGGGGGGGGGGTGACTCACAATTCTTGACAGAGAGCTGTGATTTTTATATGTAATGCTTATCATCCTGCAGCAGCAATCAAGTCAGAACAATGTTATTTTCCAACAAAACTCAGCTTCATCTCAGAAGTGTAACGGTTAATCTCTTCCCTATTGCAGGTTTCATTCACTATTAATGAGATTAAGGATCTTGTTTCTGTAGGTTGTAACAGACAAGACTTAATTTATTATCACTCTGAACTAGTAACCTAAAACTGAGCATCCATAGACTACTCTTATTTAGTCATTTCTCTATGCACCTCTGGAAGGTTGGATAGTACTGAAAACTGTTCCATCTGTATAAAAAAAATAAAAATAAAATCACAGTATGATCTGTGACTCATCATAACAGCAGCAATTATTTTTAGGGATTTTCCTTCTATTTCCAGATTTTAGGAGAAGTTGCTTGATGGGCAAGGAACATAAGTCTGTCAGTGAGACCTAGGCAAGAAACAAACGTGAAATCCAACCATCTTCTGGAAATGCTGCAGCATCAGTTGAAAACACAGGAAGGAAAAGCCAATGTTTTTCCATTCTTATCATCACAATTACTATGTGTGTTTTAAGACTATTTTTAATGAAGCTCATTTTTTACCACTGTAGTTTTTGATTACTTCTGTTATCTAATTGAATTAGGAGGTAAAGAACAATCTTACACAGTTATCACTGTAAGGGCCATCATCAATTAAAAAACCAAGAGCTATGCTGCCAAGGCTGACATCATCATGGCTAGGCTTCGCGAACGAAGATTTGGGAAGGCTCTATCCACATTTGCTGCAGGCACGCTGGTGGCTTATGAGGCCAATACGTGACAGACAAATCCGATTGCAAAAGGCACAGCAGAAAGACTCTTTAGATGGTGTATTCTGCAATACACGGTTCTTTCTGCGTTGCCTTTTTTCCTCGAGGGTGATCCTGCGTGTGTTCTCGAAGGAGACAGCTGCGTTATAGATGGTGTGTCTCCAGGCCTCCCGATTTGAGGCCAGAGTGGACCAGTTATGGTGATCAATATGGCCAAGGCTGAGATGTTGTTTCAGGGAGTCCTTGTATCTTTTCTTCGGGGCTCCTCTCATGCGGCAGCCAGTGGCAAGGCTGACAACTCATGTTCCTAATGCAAAGCAGATGTTGTTCTGCACTGTCCAGTGTCATCACACCAGTGTGCTCGCTGAGCAAACTCGACCTGAATTGGGCAAGGCACAGCCCAAAACTTTTTCCCCACTGATAATGCATTACCACTGCTGCACGTCACACACAGTTCTTCCCCTGCAGCCCCTGGACTATTTTGGTCTGGAAATCAACGTTTCTGTGACACAGTTCATAGCTGCAATAACTATAGTCTCACCAAATACACCACTTTTTGCTTGTACCAGGTTCTTTGTTCTTGCTTAGACTGAGGGACTCCCATACAGAAGAGCAATGCATCGTTTCCTTTTTCTTCTAGGCTAGACATCCTACATTCAAGTAAGTTCTTTTTCCTTAGGCTACTCTTACAGTCAAAAGCTACAGACTCAAAACATGGATAAAAGATTGCCTTCAGCCATGACTTGAGGTCCTGGCAATCATACTTGCAACATACTAAACAACACTTCCAGCTTTGTGAAGTTTTTTTGTCTCCTTCCCTGTCTTTCTACTGTATCTCAAACTAAAATCCAGATTGTCCTCAATAGTGATTTTGAAAATTCAAGAATGTTAGACCCCACAACTCAAGAGATTAAGGTACTCACCTGGGAGGAGGCATAGGTGGCTCTCAATCCAGTGGACATACATCTACAGCAGAAGGCATGTACAGCACTTCACTGAAGCCTGGCTCCCTCCCCAGGCAGTGCTTAAACTGCTCACTCCCATTAACCACAACAATCACAGTGGAGACTGCATGTAATACTATTTGCTTTTTCAAAAGAAGCCATGTTCCAGGTTCCTCTTTGTTGTTAGAAAAACAACGTCAGTATACAAATACAGTACGACTAGCCTGCAAAAATGAGCCCCACTGGTATTTACTACTTCAGACGTTGTTGGTTAAGCTGTAGAAATCACTTCTTTTAAGTCAGTGCCACAGCATCAAACAACACTAGGCCAAGAAATTCTCCTTTCTGATCCATGAAGATCAGCCTCCTTCATTGATTCTCCATGTAAAATTAATTTGCGGTTTTCATCTACTTACTATGAGACACACCAACTTTGCTTGTAAATTTATTTTAAGGGGACAGGTAAGGCAAAACATACAAATAGCCCCTTTGTTTTAGGATAATGTTGTTAGGAACGCAGAATTAAATAACAAACAGTAGAAAAAACATTTAATGCAAAGTTAAATACAATACAAACTTTATTAAAAATAGGTTGCAAGTGAAATACAGTAGAAATGGGAAACTACAGCAGTTTTGATGTTTTTCATAATAATGCACAGACAAATATGAAAAGCACTTTTACACATATTCACACTTGACCCGAATGCCCAATAGCGGCCAAATCCACTCAACTGAAGGTTATAGGTATTTTTTTTGCTAAGCCTTTTTCGGAATCCAGCAGCAACAGTAATTCAGCAACAGCATAAGTTTTTTTCCTTAAGGAAAGCTTGTCACTGTAAGGCTGCTAGTGTTCTCAAGATAAATTGGGAGAGGCTTGCTTTTCCTGATGAACAGACATAGCAAGCATGCAGATCCTTCATTAACACTTTGAACCAGTTTAATCTTCTACTTCATATTTAACAGGTGAAACGGTAAAAGCACACTTTCAAATAAGAAACCTGAAATACGTAAAAAATATTTACACTCCAATTTTCATTAACTTGCATTTATTTATCATACAACTCTTATTAAAAGTGATTTCTTTCCTAAGGCAGTGAAAGTCTACCCCTTTGTATCTGGAAGTGTGCACAATTCCCTAAATATATATTTATAAGAGAACAATATGATACAGGAAAAAAAATCATCTAAAGCCAGTAAAGGGCTTTGTCAAATAGAAAATTTATTTGGAATCACAATATATATTGTCTTAACATCACACAATGAGAAAAACTTCGATGAGGTCCTTATTCCCAACATCATCAGCCACATAAGCATAGCTGAAGAAATAGTGGGAGGAAAAAGATTAACAATTTAAAATTAAATAAGGCTATTACAGTGTGAAAAAATAGCTTGAACTGCCAAAAATGTTTTCAGTACAACAGTAACAGGATGTCAGTAAAGCCAGCTAGACTGAAGAAGAGCTCACTAGCACTGCTTCCTCAGCATAAGCAGTGATGGTTCCTTGCCAGCACACCAGCTCTGTTAATGACCTTACTAACATTCCCACTCCCAAACTGCAGTATTCTATTTGATGCTTCATACTTCAGTCTTTTTCTCTAATATGCCAGTTCACATCTCCATAGAACAAAAAATCTATTGCTGAACTGGTAACAGACTTATCAATACGGTTCCATGCCTAATTACCCAATAACTTCTAAATCTGCCTTTGTCAGAAAACATATGTATCCGTTCTGCTCACCTTGAAACTGGAATCATTACTCCTCACCTTTAACATCTTACCAACATTTTGGTCCTAGCTGATGGAGGGCCACTAGTGTAGGCTACTATCTATTGCTTATGTAATTTTTAATGAAACAGTTAACCAAAGGTTTTTATCTTCCCATTTTTGAAAGTCTGAAGCACATATAGTGAGGATGCATCAATATACAGACTTTTCCATAACTACAGATAAACTCATAGGCAACCATTTTAGACCCAACAAATATGTAGGACTAGAAATGTTTTTATTCCAAGGTTCTACCTACAGAATGTGTGTTATTCCAGTACTAAGTAATGGTAAGATCTGTATTGATATGATCATTCTATAAACACCATACAGTATGTCAAACTTGCATATGAAGTCTCAAATTTAAGGTGGCCCAAATATTGGCTTCTTATCAAACAACCTAAAATACTAATTTTCTAGTGCACAGCTTAGTTTAGGCAGTTCAAGCTATTCTCACTCTCTCTGCTCAGCAGCTAAAACAAAAGTGTGTCTGTAAAACACCAGGAAACAGAACTTGACAAGTGCTACTTGGTCTGGTGCACAAGAACTTAACCCCCAAAACAGAAAAGAAAAAGTTACCTTCACGTGATTCATATCTTTAAAATTTTACAGTGCTTTCATTGTATAAACCACAAGCTCCTGGCAAAGTAATCAGTTTTCTTGCTATTGCAACATCTCTAGATCTTAATTAACAGTCTTAGATATAGAGGAATCATAGTCACTCCTTTCAGAAAACATTCATTTTCTGTTCATTAGTAGTGTGCCCCCCATCTCAATCCCTCAATTTGGAGATCTTCCGTTACATCTGATAAGGTGCTTTAATCTTATTTTGTGTTCAACTCATTTTCCAGTTCCATTAGTTTCCTAGAAGCTTTTACTTTATTAGATACATCCTGACCCTGTGAAAAAAGTCGCTGGCGTTCCCTGAACGTCAAGTTTTCTGGTGCTCCAGGTAAATCTCCATCTTGACTGGAAAGGAAAAAAAAAAATACTTTTATAAATTCTGATCTCCAATACCCTTAAACATAATAATTCTTAATTACATGTATTGACTGATAGCTTCTTTGACTACAGCAAGTCTCTCCACTCTGTGTTCTGCAAGGTTTTGTTCCCCACACATACCTTTAATTGTGCTATCACTTAAGACAAATTTATAGCTTGTGACCATTTCTTACATCTTAAAATGAATGGAAATGCCTGCCAATTTTCAAAGTGAAGGGCAGGTATAAACTAAGGTTCTGTCTATATTAGCACAGCATTGCTGCTCTGGCTAAATTAGCAAGCTTTTCTATGGTGGCATAGGTCTAAGAAAAAGCACTGGAAGACAAAGCATGTCTTCAGTATGCTGTATGGTAAAGCTTGTATGAGACATATATACAGCTTGCATTATTGACACTTATTACAAGTTTGGTAACAATCCCACTTGAGAGGTTCTGTTCAGAGTCCTAAATACACATAAAACAGTTGCTGCTGTTAGCTTACGTAGATCATTTGGTTTAGTCAGTTGTAGTGTCAAAATTTGCTGCTGTTCAGCAGTGCTTCAGATCACCTGGGGACTTGTGGAGAACTTAGCTGTGGTTTATAGTAACCCATGAAAGAGCCAACTGCAGAACTAATGATTAGCCCACGGAGATACAACAACAGCAACAGAAAATACTGCAGAATTTAGCCAAGTCAGGTGTATACAAGTTCATGGAGTTCTCTATGTCACCTTTTAGATCTTTTGTCTCTTGGATCCCGATAACCTTCCCCAGCAGCTGCTCCTGTAGATCCAGTGTATGAATTTATTCCTTATGCAAAAGAAAAAGTACGTTGAAGGATTGCAGTTACAACACAAAAGTTTTATACTGCATTCTTCAAAAGGTGCAGTGCTTCTTTCCAGAAATAATCTCAAAATAGAATCAGAAATAAATCTGACTTCTAGAATATTTAAAACCAGTACTACCAAATTCCATCCCCCTCAAAACTGCTTAATTTTTTTATTCCTAATTTTAAGTCAGAACCCATTTTGTTTAGATTATCCAGCACACACCAAATCATGGTCTTTATCTTATTATGGCTTATCTGTAAGACAGACATTAGAAGTTGTTCA